TTCCCTCGTGACTTTTACGTGTCGGGTGAACTATTGTTTTGCAAGTTTTGTCAACATTCCATTGATTGGAAGCGCAAAAATACATACATAAAATGTGAAAAATGGAATTTAAAAAAATTAAAACGGAAATAAAACAGAATTTGAGAAAAAATGAAACGGAATTTATAGGGCCCTAGTCGGTAAATGGAATTGTTGGCGTGGCTGATTTCTGACATTTTGAATTGAAAAAGCTTCCTGGATGGGAAAAAAAACATCTTCAAACTTGGAAACAAAGTCTAGTGGATTGTTTTTTTTTTGTTTTTTTACTTTTTTTGGATCTTCTCAAAGAAGAGCTGCTGGTTTTTACAGATTTAAATGTTTTTTAGTCTCTCCCGTTCTTGTTCAAGCTAACTAGATGTTTTCTCACCACTTTCCAACAGACTCTGTCCAAGTCTGGCACGGTATCACTCTGCATCTGTTAGCTGTAGTGTTGTTGGCTTTTTCCAGAGCCCTGAGAAAAATGTTCTGATGAGATATTAATCCAAAGCCAGCCTCCCAAGTATTGAAAAAGAAAAGATTTCTTTTAGACGGCTCCCATAGAGGACATTTTTCCTCCCAGCTTCCACCAGCAGGGTGGTCTGCTCTGATCTGTTCCTCCAAACCTGCTGATTAGTTTGTTTTGGAGCTTTTTGAACTCCCTCTTCATCAGAGCTTTCTCTCAGCGCTTTTAAATCACAGCCTAATATCGCTCTGCTTGTTGTTCTGAGACTAAAACTCTTCTCTTTTCCCCCCCTGCTTTCTGGGCCTTGGCTGTGCGCTAGGATTGCTGACAAAGCATTCTACAAACAGCCCAACTCTGATGCTATAGGCTTCGTGTACGTTTAGAGTTCTTATGCTTTCTTACGTTGTATGCTCCTCCGCCTCCTTCTTACCTGATGCATGCCTCCCTGTAGCCTGCAGTCGGATCATCAGATCAGATTTCTGTAAATGTTTGTAGTGCATATCAAAAAATACTTGAAAAGCTTCAGGTCACATTAGGTCTCTTAGTGAAACATTTATAATTTTCAGCTTTTGTCACCGTAAGCATGTTTTTTTGTGTGTTTTTTAAAATGAACTGTGGCTTGTCTTTGTATTCATTCCTAAAACTGGTTGTCCTTTTGTTATTTGATTAAAAATAAAGTAAAATGTGTTGAATTGTTTTTCAAGGCCCCACAAATAAAGATGGCAGTGGTTTTTGACTTGCATCGTGATAAAACCCAAATAACAAAGCTTTTTCTGAACCTCTCCCCCTACATATTCTCATCATTTTTTCCCCCCCTCTTCTCTCAATCTCGCTGCAACCCCACAGAGCGTCCGAGGAGGCCTTCCTGGCAGAGAGCGACGGCGACAGCCCCGGCTCCGAATGGGAGCGAGTTGCTCGCCTGTGCGACTTCAACCCTAAAACCAGCAAACAGGCGAAGGACGTCTCCAGGATGCGCTCGGTTCTCATCTCCCTAAAACAGACACCTTTAGCCCGCTAACAGCAGCAGCTTGAATGACACGCTGTATCCGAATGATTTTTAGGCCTTTTCCATAGGAGTTGCTGACATGCTGAACCTTTTCTTGCCTTTCTTGATGCCTATATATTGATAAACCTAACCTGAGGCTCCTGTAAGAAGACAGAACGCTCTGTTACACCTTTCAACGCCACTTTACTGAAGAAAATACTGTTACTTTATGTTTTCTTTAACTTATAATTTGAGGTCAACTTTATTGGATTGCCTTTTTTGCTCAAAACACTTAATGTCAACAAGATTGTATCCCTTCATGCCTGTTTTTAACCATAAAACAATTGTTTAATTCATGAAATCAATAATAAGGTTATACATGTTTATTTTTAATGACATAAGCTTGTGGCCTTTTGATGTCGCTCCTCTCAGGAGTATTAAGCCTGATAGTTAATCAATTGGGTTACTTTATTGGAAAAAAAAAAAATTAAAGGTAAAGACTCCCAACCAAAGACTTCTGCTAGCATCTAAATTAAGGAATTTAAATTAGCACCTTTTTTTACTTATTTTTTCTTCATATTTGTGTCACAACAGCACACTAAAACGTTTAAAGTACAGGTTTTCATTTCAAATGTGACATCTGCACATTGTTCACATGTTGCCTATTTGGACATAATAAATATTAAATCACTGAATGTTAAAAAGGGACGAGAATAAAAGAAAAAAAAGAAAGAAATTTTTTCATATTTCTTTAATTTAACATTTCCTTGCCAAGCTTGTTGCCATTTCATAAACTTTGGAGATCACTTGAATAAAGTCGTGTGTAGCCCAGTATCCTCATGCGTAGTGTCACACTTTTATGTTTGAGAAGGTCAAGCATGACTGAAGGTTAACTAAAGAGTTTGGCGTTCTACACTGCAAAAACCATCTAGAAATAAGTACAAAATTTCTTAAATTTAGTGTATTTAACCTTAATTTTAGTAGGTAAATAAGACGATTTGCCAATGGAATTAGTAATTCTACTCCTAAAATAAGAGAATTAGATAATATTCACTTGAAATAAGACAAAGCAATTGTTTTTTTCTTATTTTAAATGTAAATTGCCTTGTTCCATTGGCAAGGTGTCTCACTTATCTGCTCAATTCAAGATAAAATTCACTCAATTTAAGCAAAAATAACTCATACAGATTTCCATTTTTTGCAGTGTAGATCTGCAGTGCTGCAAAGTGTGGCTTCTGGCAGACTTCACACTGGAAAAAAAGATCTAGAAATAAGTAAAAGTTTCTTAAATTAACTTTATTTACCCTTAATTTGAGTAGGTAAATTAGTTTGCCAATGGAATGAGATAATTAGATAATATGCACTTGAAATAAGACAATGCAATTATGTTTTCTTATTTTAAGTGTAAATTGTCTTGTTCCATTGGCAAAATGTCTGTTTTGCCTCCTTGTCTAAGAAAAAATTCACTTATTTTAAGAAAAAATTACTTATGTAGATTCTAATTTTTTTCAAGTGCATTTTTTCCCTTACAAAAGAGAAAAATAATCTTGTAATACTCAATGAATTATAAATACTTTAATAAAAAAAATCTGGTTGATAAATTAATCAGCTGTATCCCTTTATTAGGATGTCTCTATGGAAGCGCCCTAATGAGCCATTCGCTGGATCTCTCAACAGGACAAATATGTTTAACACTAAATGAGCCACATTGTGTCTGCTTCTGTTTAAAGTCTGACCCCCAGATTCCACATCCTCCAGCAGCGCTCCACTCATGTTAATGAGAACTGTTCCATATCCACCGTCCACGTACGTCTTCTCCATCAAAATACAGATCCAAGCTATTTTTTGCTCCAATCCAGTCTGTTGGAAGCCGCCAGGTCAAGATCCGCAATTGCAATCGCACCAAAACAGGAAAAGGAACGTCAAGAAGATCCGACGCTACACTAACTGTACTTAAGTACA